AGAGTGAAAGGCCAGGTGCTCATGCTGCAAACACTGCAATCCCTTCAAGCACAGATGGTCCTTTTTGCTGAAATTGTCACTGCTCCTGCCAAAAGCCTTTGCAGCACCACAGTCAATTCTGACATTAACTGAGTGATGGAGATCACTTCTGACAGACCTCTGCCTGAGCAGAAAATACTGGGCCCAGAGGGTTCAAACAATCATCAGGCAATCCTCACTGCAAATAGAGATGGAGCAGGGGGAGTTTCTGGGCTCTAACTCTCCTTCCTCACAGGTGTCCCCATAATCTTCCAGGGTGCTTTGGTAATGCACTTTCTAAAGAAGGGAAGAAACAGTGCAAGTGTACACAAAAGCTCCTACTGCCCTTTGGCTGAAAACCCCAGACAAAAGCAGTTTAATTAGCAGATATGCCCTATTAGGTGTTAATTAGCAATTATGACCTTTGTTTTGGCAGTCATGCCTTGTTACCTGGAACACAAGTGAGTTGAGCTCACCCAGCTGAGCTGATGCTGAATCTCACAATCTGACAGGCATGGGACACTCTGCACGCTCAGCTTCTCTTACCCAGAATCCAGCCCAGATTGCTGACTCCATTCCGGACTCTGGCCGGAAATCCTATCCAGATTTGTTTGGTTGGTTTTTATTTTGCCAACTCCATTCCAGAGCTCTGGCCAGAATCCGGCCCGGGTCTTCCTTTTTGCCAACTCCATTCCAGACTCTGGCCAAAATCCGGTCCGGTTTTCCTTTTTGCCAACTGCACTCCAGATCCCGGCTGGAAATGCGGTCCAGGTTTTCCTTTTGCTGACTCCATTCCGGACTCCAGGGGAAATCCGGTCCAGGTTTTCACTTTTGCCAACTCCATTCCAGACTCCGCCTGGAATCCGGTCCGGGTTTTCCCTTTTTGCCGGCTCCATTCCGGACTATGGCTGTAAGCTGGTCCGGGTTTTTCATTTTGCCGGCTCCATTCCGTACTTTGGCCAGAATCCAGCCCGAGTTTTCCCTTCTGCCGAATCCGGTCCGGGTTTTCCCTTTTGCTAACTCCATTCCAGACTCTGGCCAGAATCCAGCCCGGGATTTCCCACACCCTGGATCCCGGATGGAGTTGCCCAAAGATGAAGGAAAATTCCGTATTTTTCTGGCTTCCCTTGGCCAGCAGGGCCCGGGATGTGCTGAGCCACCCCCTCCACCCGGCAGCATTGAAATTCTCTCCAAGAAAATTCAGTGGTGCCATCTTGAGAAAGAAATACAACGCAGCAACAAACAGGGCAGTGTCTCACTTTTATTGTAGCAAATATACGGGACCTTTGAATGACAAGATCACTTTCCCAAGGAATTACTAGCAAAAATATCCACAAAAAGTTCAAATAAATAAGAATACATGAATATCAACATCAAAAGCTGGTCTGCAAATCCTCAGTTAATCAAGGTCAGTCCTTCCAGCATGGTCTGCTTATTTTTCAGATGAAAACCCACCAATGCAATGGGAGCAACAAAGGCTCAATACCTTTAAAATAAGGCAAAAAATAGTGCATTCTAGGCAATTTCATACTGTAGAAATTTTATGTATCAGCTCCAAAAAAGCACATACTGGCTGAAAAAAACTGTCAAAATTCTCTCAGAATTCTAACAAGATCCTTTAAATAGCAAATTCCAGGTTACCTGAAACAATGAATGAAAAAGAGAAAGGACACGAACAGTGACAGGATGAGGGCAGATCTCAGAGTCTGGAGTCAAACAGGACAGCTCAGCCCAATGGAATCAGCACCTCCCTCCCTCCCTGCAGCATTATCCTGCTGTATCCCACTGAAAACCACGTGGGAAAATTACTGCCCTCAACATGAGATGCAAGCAATGGAGAAAAAAGGAACATGACAAGAGAAAAACAATATTGCTTTAAATATTAAATATTTCAATTTTAAAGGAAAACAGTTTATACATATTAGAGTGAAATTCTGTTTCTTCACATCTTCTAACAGGGTCATTTCACTGAAAATAACTGAGTTGTTCAGAGTTTATACTCATGCAACTTGAAGCACAGTCTGGCTGTTTATCTGAAGTCCAACCTGAGCATATTTGTTCTGTAGGTAATACTGCAGAACAATAAACCTTTACATTCTCTAGCAAAAAAATAAATCATTCTGTTTAAATATCTCACATCACAGTTATCTTCTTCAAGAAGCATCACCAGTGCTAGGCTTAGATCCACATGATCATATTGCTAAATTTTGTATTAAAAAGGCAGATAGCCACACAAACACGGTGCTGGGGAAGTATCTTAAGTAATTAATTTTAAACTGAATGTGTTTGATGGAATACATTTTTCTGCTCTGTTCAGAAGTGCTTCTAAAGACAATATCCAGCAATAAAAAATGAAATAAATATAAACCACAGTCCTCTTCATACAAGGAGCTCTTTTCACCTGTAGGCCCAGAACACAGTGAAGTTAAAAGAGAGACAGGATAAACCCAGCCCTTGGAGGTGTGCTCAGCCAAGAGCTGTTTGTTGAGGCAAACAGAGAATTTCTGTGTATGAACAAAGACAAGCATGTCAGAAATACCAAATCAATGACAGAAATTAGGCTGGTGTGATTATCACAGGAGACAAACCTACTTGGCCAGATCCCAGGTGGAGCCCAGCGCTGAACAAGTTTTCAGACTCCTTTAAAGTGCCATCACCACCTCCACCTGCTTCCCTTTTCAGTCTCCAACAACAGACTGGTGTCCATAAGATGACAAATATTACACTCTAACTTTCCTACCTCTGTGACAAAAGACTTTTCCCAGTGCCAATCACCTTTGCTCTGGTCACAGCTGGTTGAAATGGGGTTTATTTATTCTTAGAGAAGGGATCATGCAAAATGTGCCAGTATTTACATGCCCTCCTTACAACCCAGGAAAGCTTCAATTTAGAAATTTTAGCATCCAGCAATATTCAATGCTATAACAACATGCTAAATTATTTACTGCATCTAACAGATTTAAAAAAAAAAATTGTTATTCTGATTATTGCCTGGATTCCGCTCACCTCAGGCTTGGAGCTTGTAACAGTGAAGTAGAACAGTGCATTAAAATCCTGATTATTGGCAAAGCAGCTCTCCTGTTTTTCACTACTGCTCACGTGAATCAGGAACACTTGGCTAAGGCAGGCTTGCAGAATTTGGCCAGAGCTTGAAATATTACACTGGGTGCAGGAACCTTCCATCTAAAAAAGCTGAAATACAGGAGGCTGGACCAAAACAAAAGGGTGAAACAGCAACCCTGGGATGTGCTGGTCCTCTGCAGCTGCTGGTGTTCATCCCATCCTGAGTGCCACCACCTCTGACACAGCCACCTCCTGCTCCTGGAGCATCTCAGAGTCAGTTCCACTTGAATTGCATAGAGCTCAATGTACATGCAACTACAGCTCATATTAAGTGTAACTTTACAAATACTGATTCTGGACATGTAATACTGTCTATTACATTCATTTCCTTTACCAATTCAAAATTTCACATTTGGTCTCCAGTAGACTAGGAAAAAAAACCACTAAAAATATTTCTTAGGCTATTCCTGAGCAATGTTTTTATGTACTGTAAAATACTGTACTTTATTACTACATTTCTTAATATTCTCACTTTTCAAACTACATATAAATTCATGCTTTGAAATTTTACAAAGCTGAAGATCTGGTAGGCACAATGAAAGATAGAAACAGCTAAGCATCTTAAAACCAAGATGAGCTCACCAAGAGAAGTGCAATTTAGCTATATACATAATGTACTCTTTAGTATTTGCTACTTTTTCATTTTCTGTGACAATGTGAAGGATCCTCTTGCAGAATCTGGTCCATCAGAGCTCAGCTCACTTCTCATGAAGATTGGGACTGGTGGCTGAGGAGGAAAATACCTCACCAGGATTTGAAAGTGAAAGTAAAAAACATTCTTTAGAATTTCATCTTAACAAGATCCTGTCCCCATCTCCCGTGATTGATTTGAAATTCTAATAGATCAAGTGACACTTGAATATTCTCAGAACTGTCCTTTGTATTCTCCTGTGTCTCACAGACACAGGAGAAGACAGAAGGCCCAAGCACAGGATCCAATCCTGGTTGTACAATTTCCTTCTGCAGGACATTTCCCCATCTCACCTCCCTCAGCCTTAAGAAGCCAAGCTAGACTGGACCACAGGATAAATAAGAGTCATCTCAGATGACTAAAAATAGGTCTCTTCTGTATCAAAATATATCTTTACTTGAACTTACAACACCCTTTAAATTCTTCCCTTAAGAGTCTGTTTCTTATGTTTTGAGGGGCCACCAGGTCTGAAAACCAGGCCACAGTCTCTGCTAAAACCTCAATTTGCATGACTCAAATATATCCATGTGCAATTTGATATCTGGTCATTTCCCCTAAATGACAAAAAGCATCAAGGCCTACAAAATGAACTTCCAGGAAAGCTGTCTGTAAACACAGTGAAGATCCCAGGGTATAAAAATACACATTCCATTTTCTTAATCTGTCATTATTGATGCTGTCTGGTCCCTAATACTTTGTCTTAAAAAGAATTCTTTCTGCATTAAAATATTTCAAAACATTATCTCCGTTCTTCTTCTCAAAAAAATAAAACCTATTTCATCCAAAAAATCCAATTCATCATCTTCTGTGAAGAATTAGAGTTGACTTTGCATAGATAACAGGCTCCATTATTTTATAAAAACACCAAAATCAAACCTGTCTTACAAAAAGCACATCTGGGCAGGGAGAAAGAGCATGGGACCCTATTCCCTCACACCCAGCAGGGTAAATACAAGGAACACTCAGTGGTGCAGATAGAACGTTCTACACTTCTCTAAACTTCACACTGTGCTATTGTTATCCTCAATGAGCAATTATCAATATTTTTGAGGAAAGACCAATGGAAGACATTTGCCTTCAGAGAAAACATTTCCTGCTGGCTTAAGATCAAATCTATAGAAATGAACAGTGCTGACTCAGAACCATGTGCTAGGAACATTCTCAGGATCTTCCTACAAAGGAAAAAAAATTCTTCTGCACTGGCCAGATGCTTTCTAGCAGTCAAGAAGCATCAACATTCACTGAAATTTGCGTGGTGTTTGCTTTGTGCCATTTGTTTTTATTGTCCTGTCCACTGTTGGTTTTTTAGGAGGAACATAATTGCTGGCATTGCCATTTTTCTTTGGATTTGTGCACACGTGTGTTTTTAAGCCTTTGATGGGAGCAGCTGCACCGTGGAATGCTGGGGTTTGCTTAGGGGGTCTGATGTTCCCAACACTTTGGATTTTAGAGCTGCTCTCGGGGGGCTGCAGACTGAGAAGCTGCTGCTTTGGAGCTGGTTTCTTCCTCAGGTCACTCCTTCCATCACCAGTTTGCCTCTGAGGAGCTGCTGCACCCCCAGTTCTCTCAGGAGCCCTCAGGGACCGCGCCGGGCGAGTGTCAGAGCAGGGCTCTGCCCTGTGACCCACACAGCTCCTGGGCAGCCTGGCACCCCCTTCCAGGGGCACTGCCTGCCTGGGGGGCACAGGGCTGAGCAAGGCTTTGCCTTTCCCGGGGCTCCTGAGGGCACGGCTGGCGCCGGGGGCGGTCTGGGGCCGCCCTTTGGTGGCCCTGCCCCTCTCGCCCTGCACCGTCTGCATCTGCAGCCACTCCAGCTGCAGCAGCCGCTCCAGGTACTTCTCCAGGGCCCCCGAGGGCTTGGGCCGGAATTCGGCTTTCCCTTCCACGTGGGCAAAGGTGGCCAGCTGCTTCAGGTCCCACGAGTTGAAAGGAGGGGGCAGGAAGTCGGGGTAGTAATACTCGGATTCTTTAAATCCCATTTCAGGGATGTGCTCCAAACAAAGCGGGTCGATTTCTTCAGCTCTGAGGATGAGCTCTGGTGGTGTGCAGGGAGAGGGGGGAATGGGAATCCTTTCTGAGTCAGAGAGGTCACTGGCACTATCATCTTCAGCATCTTCTTTAATAATTTGCACTGATTCAAAATCGAGAAACATTTCACCAACAGATGCTTCTTGCCATTTCGAAGAGCCTGGGCTGGCTCCAGCAATGTATTCTTCGTGATTCCTCCCCAACTGTTCTTTTCTACTGCAATAAAAATGCTGAACTGGGACATCCTTAGCCCTACAGAAGTTTTCTTGCGTGCTGCCCTTTGTGCCAGGGGGGAACCTGTGCAGGAAGGATTCGCTTTGATTTCTTTCTGGGGGACTCCTGTGCAGGAAATATTCATTTTGCCTCCTTTCTGGGGGACTCCTGTGCAGGAAGGACTCATTTTTCATTCTTTCTGGGGGACTCCTGTGCAGGAAGGATTCATTTTGCCTCCTTTCTGGAGGACTCCTGTGCAGGAAGAACTCATTTTTCATTCTTTCTGGAGGACTCCTGTGCAGGAAGGATTCATTTTTCATTCTTTCTGGAGGACTCCTGTGCAGGAAATATTCATTTTGCCTCCTTTCTGGTGGACTCCTCTTTGGTCCTTGTGCACTGTGTATTGAGCTGCAAACACTGAGGATCCTAAAGGAAAAGGAAGTTCATGTCCTGTTAGAATGGTCATTGCCTTTAAACAGCAGCTTACAAAGGTCTTGCCACCCCTTCAAGGATGGGGATCTCCATGACTGAAGCTAAAACTGGCACAGAAACTTGGTAATGAGGCAAAATCAATAATTGCTGCTAGAGATAACACTGCCTACTAATGATTTGTTGTTGGGTTTTTTTATGGTTTTGCCTTAGAACTCACTAAGCAGGATAGCAAGTTTCCATTTTGATAACTTAAATTTGTTGTTCTCATAAATGATGAACTCTAAGCCAAATGCAGCTCCAATTTCATCACAAGCATTTTGTCAACCAGTTTGAAATGACTACAAATTAAACAGATAATCTTAACATAAAATTTACCTTTTTGACTGGTTATTGCCATCCAGCTGGTTCCTTCCCTTCTTATAAACATTTGCTTGGTGACCATCTTGAGTGTCATGGGAAATCTGAAGGGATATAAAAATTTGTGATGTTATTAAGAAGCTGACTTAGAGTAGGTATCATTTTCATGTTAGAAAAGGGGATTATTTACCTTTTCAATGGCACTTGATACATTTTTGCCTAATCTTCCAGGAGGAGATTTCGCATAAGAAATTGGTTTATTTAGTCCTTTGGTGCTTGGATGGCTTTTTCCATTACTGTAACCACAAAGGATAAAACAGAATACCAGATATAAATAGCAGCATATATGAGTGTCAGAATGGAAGTACAATAAAAACTTGAGAGTATAACTGAGTTTAAACAAGGGCTGATTGTCATTCTTAAAATTCATCAGGACTATGCCACTATGGCAACTTTTTACTTTTTGTACTACAAATGTACTGCTGTATTTTTAGTACTATTAATACAAAAGTGAATCATTCTATCAGATGATATAATAATAGAATGTAGCCCTTATATAGAATCTTCTGTCAGAGGATCCCAAGCTTCTTTGGATATAATAAATATTACAGATATTTAACTACTGATTTTATAGCACCTGGTGGGTGCTCCAATTGCAATTTAGTAAAATTAATTATAAAGTGCAATATGAAGGTCACATATGAAGCCAAATCTTGTCTTTCCCATTTGCATATTCTCAACAAAATTTAAAGGATTATTCCTTTGAAGATAAGGAGTGGAAGTGAACAGGGAGCATAAGGTCTCTTCTGGTATTAATACAAAGTATTTCACAATGAAGGCATAGGAAAATTCCTTATTTCATATTATAATATGCTTGTGAAAATATTATTAAGCGAAAAAGCTCATATGAAAGCAAAAGGAATGGCATTACTGATCTGGGCAGCTTAGAACTAAAACATTGTTCCTTAATTAAACCAGATAAATTTCTGGGTAAAAACAGAATAAATAAATCAGCATATTCTGTACGAATAAGAACAGTGTTTGCTCTAGAAACAAGAAGCATTACTGATTTCCAAAATATTATTTCAGAGCAGGAATAATCACACTGTGCCCTTCTATCTAATCTAGCACCACTGCAGTTCAGTTAATTTGCCAGGCTGTATATCTTGCTCTCAGATTTATGTCAGTATAGTCAGATTTTGTTTTTAAAACACATGATTTCACAAATTCAAGAGTTTATTAAAGTATGAAACTAGGTCCTGTGCCTCAGCATTGCTGCAGTCACCTCTGTGACCTTGTGACCTGCACAATCATCCTGCACAATCATTTCTGTCCCTGGGACCAGGGGAGATGGAGGCAGTGGGAACAGGACAGCCAGGCACTTATTAACTAAACCCAGCATGTTGACATTCCAGTAACTATAAAAAGCGAAATTAATTTCCTTACTTTACCATTCCTTTGTGGTTTTCATTGGTGTGGCTGTGGTTTTCCCTCTGCTGTGTCTCTCTGTGCAGTAATAAGGGATATTCCTGAATGCCTGGTCCCATTATTCCTCTTTCCGAAGGGAATCTGCACCTTTACTGTTACATAATCTTCAAACGGCTCCAGTGTTTTGGCTTTGCAAGACACAATCTATCCAATGCAGACATCCCCACGTCCCGGAGATGCTGGCGACAAACAAAATCCTCCCGATGTGATTCTATTTTTAAAGCAGGAAGATAAACATAATCAGCTACCAAACTGGACAGGAAAACAGTCCCCTCCCCCAGCACTCGCTCAGCGGGAAGCAGCGTCGTTCAATTTATTGTTCCCAGAATAAGGAATACCTGGGGTACGGCCGTGCTCCCAGAGGTGCCGGGCACTGTCATGTGCTCATCCCCATCCCCGCTCAGCCTGCGCAGCTCCGGGCACAGCGCTGGGGGTGGGAGTTCCTGCTCCAGGGGATGGGGAGCAGATCCCGACCCTGCTGCCGTGCGAGCTGCGCGGCCTTTCCGTGTCACAGCATGCGCTCTTCCGATATGCATATATGCAAATTTTGTAACCAATACTTCATCGTTTTCTTTTTCCAAAACAAATGTCTCATCAGCTCCTACTAAAAATACTCAGAGCAGGAGTATTTTTAGTATATTTAGCAGGAGCATCCATTGGGTTTTTTTACTTCAGAGGAACTGCATTCCCGCACCACGGAGCTGCACAGTTCCAGGGGTTCACAATGGTCTGCAAATGTGACAGGTGACAAGCAGCTCTCCTGGCGCACCTTTACTTCTATTGCAGTGCTGTTTATGTATTTACAGTCATATTAATGTCCGTATCTACTGACACTTGATCGCGTCCTATCCCTCAAACGCCTGCCCGCATCCTGTCCCAGCCGCGCTCAGCGGAGCCGAGCCCCGGAGCGCCGCAGTCCCGCACCGGACGGGGCAGAGGAGCGGCCGCAGGGGCCAGCACCGGCCGGGCAGTGCCGGGATGGTGGCAGGGCCCGGGATGGCGGCAGGCTGTGTTCCCGGCTATGGCAGGCAGTGCCCGCGGTGGATGGCAGCAGTGCCAGCAGGCGCAGACTGTGCCCGCAGCGCCCGCCGAGCCGGGCCCGCTCCGCTCCCTCCCGCCGCCGCTGTCACCGCGCTCCGCAAGGGCCGCTCCTTCACTGAGGGGCCGCCCCGCATTCCCCGGCGCTCCCTGCCCCGGCCCGGTACCTGCCCTTACTGCGCGTCCGTCGCCAGCGGTAGCGGCAGCGCCGCCCGAGCGCAGAGCGCGGGGGCCGGGCCGGGCCGGGCCGGGCCGGGCGGGGCCGGGCGGAGCCGGGGAAGCGGCGCCTGCGCTGCGGGTGCGGAGCGGAGCGGCAGCGGTGTCCGGCGGGGGCCCGGAGCTGCTCCCGCGTTCGGGCTGCAGCGGGGGCCGCGCCGCCCATGGGCGCTGTGGCGGCCCCGAACGCGGATCCGTCCCCCGGCAGCCGCGACACCGAGCCTGGCGCCGCGGCCGCGCCCGACAGCTCTCGCCCGCCTTCCAGCCTCTGCAGCAGCCCCGGCTCCCTCCCGCCCGACAGCCTCCAAGCCTTCCCCGGCCTCGACTCGCCCAGCATCCAGTGTGACAGCCTGGAGTGTCCCCCCTGCTTGTGCTGCTGCTGCCGCCGGAGCGCGGGCTCGGCCGCGGCCAGCCAGGACAGCCTGCAGGCCCCTCTCGCCCGCTGCTCCGGCATACGGTGCTTCGGGGCGCACCGCGCCTCCAGCGACCTCTCCGACAGCCTGGAGTCCTTCATGCAGCACGACAGCCTCCAGTCGCTCTCCAGCCTGGCTGTGAGCTCCTCCAGTATCAGCGGTGATAGCCTTGAATCCCTTTCCAGCCTGAGCCTGGGGGCCACAAGCCAGCACAGCGATCTGGAGTTCATCGGGCAGTGAGTGAGTCTGCCTCCAGCTTCCCGCACAGCGCCTTACTGCTGGCTGGCTCTCCGCCAGCTGCCCTGAGACCTGCCACGCTTCGTTCGAAGGTGACATTGTTCCAGGTGATCCTCGCTGTATCCAGTGCAATAACCTCAGACCTTACTGTGGATGCCATTCCCAAATTAAGTGCTTCAGAGGGGTAGTGCTCATTATTACCTGCAGTGTTAACGCTGGGTTTTTGGCGCCACTTAAGAATGGAAGTGCGTGGTCCTCGAAGGAATCCCAGCTACCTCTCAGATCTCTATGAGAACATGTTAAGGGCTGAAGGAGCAGGGGCACAGAGGCAGCAGCAGCCCCCAGCAGTCCATACAAGTAGCAGCAAGACTTTTCGGAGCAGTGCCCCAGCCAAGGAAAGCCCCCAGGCAAACAATCATGCGGGCCGCACCTCCTCCAGCTGTGACCCAGCCCTGCGGCCCATCATGCGTCGCCGGGCCAGGTCCCTGCCGACCTCACCCGAGAGGAGGAAGAGAGCAGCAGTGCAGTGTCAGGAGCCCGGCTGCCGCATGAACAGGGTCAGGTTTGCTGATGCTTTAGGCTTGGAGCTCACTGAAGTGAAAGTCTTCCAGAGTGGGGAGGATCCATCCATCCCTTTGCACGTCCTTTCCAGGCTCTCCATAAACTCAGACCTCTGGTACAGCAGCTTGAACTTGGAGTTTACTATGCAATGCTTGGTCCCTGACTTCGAGCAGCCTGCAGACTGTCTGGATTTCTCATCCCGAGTGCAGGAGCAGCAGGTGTGTCTGGAACGGGTGAGCAGCTCGGATCTGGGGCTCAGTGGCACCATCCAGGTTCGGAATGTCGCTTTTGAGAAGCGGGTGTCCGTGCGCTACACCTTCAACCAGTGGGAAAGCATCCATGAGGTGTGTGCTCGTTGGAACTACAGCATCCCAGAGGAAAACGGGCAGGATCAGGTCGATGTGTTCACTTTCTTCCTTCCCGTGCCTCCTTTCCTCCTTCAGCTCAGCACTCTCGTCCAGTTTGCATTAAGGTACCAAGTCAATGGCCAGGAGTACTGGGATAACAACAGAGGCAAGAATTACACCCTGACGTGCCGGACTCACCCCCTGAAGCTGCCCAGGGAGTGTGAGGAGAGCTGGATCCACTTCATCTGAGCACAGGGAGTGGTGCTGAGCAGCGTGTCAGTGCTCTGATGGCACTCTGTGCCTTGGCATGGCGCTCTGCTCCTATGGCAACAGCCTTCTTTTTGAAACCTGCCAAACCTGGCCGAGTGTCCCAGCACTGGGAGGCAGCCAGTGGCCTGCACAAGCTGCCCTGAACCTCTGGGAAAGTTAAAAGGGCCAGAATCTGTAGCGAGATACCATCATAGAAAAGCCATGTGGGTTTTTTGGGTGCATGAGTCATTGCAGAATGGTTTCCAGGAATGCTGTGAGGCTACCAGAGAGCAAAACAACACATTTCTTGTTGCTAGTGATACTCTTGGTTGCATAGAATGTTTCTAACTGATCTCTCTTACCGTTTTCTACTGTTTGTTTTCTAAGTGGACAGTGTGACTTAACTGGTTTTGTTTCTAATTTTGTTTATATTACTTCATCAAGTCAGGGCACTATTCCATTTATGCATAATTTGGATGACAGACACTGTAGGGAGTACTTGTATTTATATAACTATGTTATTAAGGCTGTAGTCATGTTAAATATTTCCATTAGTATCTGAATTGGAAATTCAGTGCTATTATGAGCAAAACATACATGAAAATGTATCAGCCCCTCTGTTTCCCTTGGGAAAAAAACTAAAGGTGCCTTTTCCTATCTCCTCCTTGCAGCAGGAGTGATTGTTACCAAAGTGTGTGTAATGCACATCTACATGGGGAAATTCTCATCTTTGTCAAGTGATGCCCAAGTAGGTTTTTCTCAAGGTGGTGGTTCAGGAATTGTCTTTTTCTGGTGCACCTGCTTTTACTGAGGTGAACAAGACCAATATTGGACTTGTGTTGCAAATGCAGTTTGAAGGTCTCAAAGCACTGTATGAATGCTCATTATTTTATCACTGTTCCTGGTAAAGTTATAGATCAGGAAATGGATATGATATAAATAAATATATAAGGAAAATAAATAGTACAGGGAGCAGGGTACAGAGGCCTGGAATAGAATTCCAGAACCCTGAATCACAGTTGTTCCCCAGTGTTCCAGAACTACTGCAGAAGTAGCTTTGACTTCTTTATTTAACTGCTGCCATTGTAAAACAGTTGAACTCCCAAGACTGTAGCCTTGCAACACAAGCAGGAACTTGAAAGCACTTAATTACACAGACCCATAAACAGAATCCCTTCTGCTGCAGGGACAGCACAGGAACACTGTTAGACCACCTTCCTGTGCTTCTTGTTTTATTATTTGCATTCTGTGGTTTAAGTTTTGCAACAGGCTTAAATTTATGAAGTAAAAGTTTGTCCATAATTGTTCCCATACATAATCATTACTGCATGGAAAGTTTAGCTTTATTTGTGTAACACAGACCTTCAGAGCTGGCTGGCTGGAGGTATTAGAAGAGCTGTGGTTTAGGACTATGCTGTGAAAATCAGGCCATTTACTTGGGCATCTTATTTTGGACTGGTGCTTATTTATCAAAATCACAAGTTGTTTGTAAAATCACAGTTGTGAGCAACCCATGGCCAGTTATATATTAGTCTGAAAAGTCTGTTGAGTAATTCTGGAAGGGCAGAAACCCCAAGAAAATGAATTTGTCTGGCAACTTAATGCTGCTTCTTTGTTGTGATACCCATTTAGCAAAGCTGGGTTTTCAAGTTAGGAAGTTGCCTCATTCCTTTGGTGTTTGACTTTCAGAGGAGCCAGAGTCAGGAATGAGGATTCTGTGAGCTGCTGAGCACCTTTTCCAGGGTGCTCAGAAAGCTCAGTCCTATCTGAACATGAAAACACATGCACAGAAATTTTCAAGTATTGTTCCCCCCTCTTTTTCCTTCTCACATTACTGAGAAGAAGTGTTCTTCCACCAGCAAACACAGCACACCATAACAACCCCTCTCTTTCCAGCCCCCAGTTCACAGAGGGTGCTGCTGGAGCTCAGAGCAATACTTGCTTTCGTGCCAGAAGGATGTTGCTGTCTTCTGGGACAGACTGTCATGTGCTAGCAAATGTCAGAGCTGAGTGTTCCCTTGGCCAGGGCAGATTTTGTAAAGCTGAGGCTGTCACAAGAAGGGTTCATGCCAGATGTAGCACAGTGTGAGAGGGGTGGAGAAATGAATGTCTCAGCAGTCTCAACTGGGCTTCTATTGTCTTCCTGCCACAACCTCTCAGGGTTTTGGCATGTGCAAGGTCTAGAATACTAAATACTGAAGCATTACTCCAGGTTTCCTTTGGCTCTGTGCTGTCTGCACTGCTGGGGAAGGGCTGACAGTGCAGTTCTGGCACTGCTGGCTCAGTGGAGCTGAGAGCCATCTCCGGGTTAAGCTGCTAAAGCTTCACACCAGTACTGACACCTGTCACAGCAGAGCTGATATTTGCACTTAGGTTTTATTGCCACACTCAGTAATGAACATCAAATGGCTTCTGGTTGACAAAAATGGGATTAAGCCATTTAGTGCTCATATGCACCTGTTGTGAAGGTAAACTTACAGCACATTTGTATCTTCTCAGGACAACCTGACTGCTTGCACTGTGTTCAAATTGAGAACTTCCCTTATAATGAGGATTTTGTAACAGTGAATTCTTCACAAGGGTTGTCACCATATAATGCACTTTTAAAAACATGTATTTATTATTGTCATACAGTAAATGAATGTCTTGTAGTCCACAGTTTCAAGGTTCT